CTTCTAGTTCTACTTCTACTTCTACTACTACTGCTACTTCTACTTCTACTTCTACTATGACTTAGGTTTGCGACCACCGGTCGGGATCCGGAGCGCACGCCCATGTGACTCAGCAAAAGTTCTGAGAGCTGAATGTAGTGTAGGGGCCTTATTAATTACCAATACTATTGGGGGGGCTCCTTATTCTAATTGTTATAGTAGAAGTATAACAAAACCCTAAACCCTATTCTAAAAAAAAAGGCCCCTACATTAGTCGTCAGGGTCCAGGGTTAAGGCACCCTACAGCAAACCCCAGAAAGTTGGAACATTGGTTTAGGATGATCTGTGCTAGGATCCCTTATACTTTACTTTAACGGCCCGAGGAATATGATGTTCCAACTTTATGGCTTCCACTAGATGGATCTATAAATTATAGCCATAACCAAAGCCCTAACCGTAAGTGTCCAAGTACCTACTAAGCATCTACTCACCGAGATGCAGACCCACCCTAAACCCTAAGCCCACATACAAAACGCGGCTGCCTCCGTGGGACCCCTAGTAACTCGGCGTCGTAAGCAGCACCTTTAGGATTTAGGGTTCACAGAGTAGCTATCGTCATTCTAGTAGTTATAGTAATCATAGTAACCATAGTAATTATAAATGGCCAAAGAACTCCGCTTGACGGAATGGAGGGTTTAAGGCCTGTAGTTTGGACGATGCTGTTGAGGAACTATCGGTTTCTTTTGAGATTCTTAGCCCTTTTCAAAGGGCCCTTAAAGAAAGATATGAAGTCCTCATATCGTCTCAGTCTAATTCCCCAATCCAAAAGCAGCACTAGATTCGCAGCCCTCGTCCTCTGAGCCGGACCAACCCTACACCCAAAACCGTCTAGGCTTTAGTCTAGGACATTTTCAGGTGGGTAGTTGCCGATATAGGAGCCTTCTAGAAAGTCTATATACCTTATAGAAGCCTTATGGAAGCCCTATATACTATATACCCTAAACTCCCCGCCTGTAGCTTCCTTTAGTTTAGGGTAATTGCAACCTGTCAGAGGAAGACCCAGGGACCCAGAAGCCTAAAGCCCTAAAACTCCTTAGGGTTTAGGGTTTAGGGTTTAGGGTTTAGGGTAAAAGCACAGGGTCTTCAAGCCCTTCCCAACACCCTGTAGTTAGGGAGCTATACCTGAAAGCATGCCGTGGACCCTACGATGATGTAAGGTACATTCTCCTAAACCCTAAACCCCTAAAACCTAAACTCCTAAATCCCTGAACGCCAAACCCCTAAACCCTAAACCCCCAAACACTAAACCCCAAAACCCTAAACCCTAAACCTTAAACCCCCAAGCCCCAAAATCCTTAAACCCTAAACCCGAAACCTTTAAACCCTGAGCCTTAAAAGCCGGGATTTTTGAAGGTCTGGGTCCGGACGCCCCAAAGCCTGAAAGCTACTATTGATGATAGAAATCCTGCAGCAGCTTAAGAAACCTTAGGGTTTAGGGTTTAGGGATTAGGGTCTAGGGTTTTGGGATTAGGGATTAGGGTTTAGGGTTTAGGGATTAGGGTCTAGGGTTTAGGGTTTAGGGTTTAGGGTTTAGGGTTTAGGGTTTAGGGTTTAGGGATTAGGGTTTTAGGGTTTAGGAATTAGGGATTAGGGATTAGGGTTTAGGGATTAGGGCTTAGGGATTATATAGGGTTTAGGGTTTAGGAATTAGGGATTAGGGATTTGGGGTTAGGGATTAGGGTTTAGGGATTAGGGTTTAGGGATTATATAGGGTTTAGGGTTTAGGCATTACCTTTTAGGATCCTAAAGTACAGGAATTTTGGTATATTCCGTATTATGGGCAATGCAGGATTTATATCATCAGCCGTATGAGCATGAATCTCAGGATTTTAGGAGGGACTCATAATAGGGACCCTTAATCCCATTACCTGAAATAACCATGTATAGTCCTTATATACCCCTTATATAACCAGGTAGTCTCCATATTAACCCCAATAACCTACAAGGGTCCCTATTAAGGGTCCCTCCTAAAGCCCTTAGAATGAAATGCCCTGAACCCTCAACACCCCCAGCTCAGGCAGTGGACTTCAGGCGCGATCTCCTGCTTTGTACGGTTTAGGGTTTAGGCTTTAGGGGTTTAGGGTTTAGGGTTTAGGGTTTAGGGTTTAGGGTTTAGGGTTTAGGGTTTAGGCTTTAGGCCTTAGGGTTTATTTCGGGTTTAGCTTTGTATTCCTGGTTTAGGGTTCAGGGGTCTAGAGAGGTCAACCTCAATTGGAGTTAGAAAAGCTTCGCTAGCATTTTCAGGTGGAGCTTCTGTATCAGAACTGTAGTCATACTGCCCCCTTGTGCTTCAAATTACAAGCTCTAAACTGCCGAGAGCGCCGCTGACCATTTGCATGGGCGCTCCAGGCTCCGACCGAGGTCGTTGGTGGAGTGTCCCGTCGGAACGGTGAGGGAGGGTGAAGCCTCCCGGTATACCAGGCCTGTAGTGACGCCGCCCCAATAATGACTCCTCTGCCGCCAGGCGGTAAAGATAGACAAACCCTAAACCCTAAACCCCAAACCCTAAACCCTAAACCCTAAACCCTAAACCCTAAACCCTAAACCAACCCAAACCCTGCGCCATTGAAGGGACTTCGGTCTGACGGGGCGGGGGTTTTCAGGGGCCCGCTGCGGGCGCCCCATTTTCCGGAAAAAGGCTCCAGAGGCCCGGCACAGCCCGCCAGGACCCGACACCAATCCATCTCAGCTGTGGCTTGCTGAGAAACGTGGTCATTCATGTGTCGATCTGCGAAGGGATACCGAGAGAAAGAAAGCCCCCTTAGGGGGGTTTGGGACCCTAAACCCTAAACCCTAAACCCTAAACCCTAAACCCTAATTCACAGCAGTTGGGGCGAGACTACAAGCTGACGCCAGCGCCCCCAAAATAAGCGAGCGCGTCCCCATCCCTAAAGAAGCCCACGCATCCGCCGCGTGCACACGGTATACGCGCCCAACACCCTCAACCCTAAGCCCTACACCCTTAAACCCTAACCCTTACACCCTTAAACCGTAAACCCTAAACCCAAAACCCAAAACCTCTAAACCCTTCAAGCCTAGACCCTAAGCCCCAAGCCCTACGCCCTTAACCCTAAACCCTAAACCCTTAACCCTTAAACCCTTAAACCCGAAACCTTAGGCGGTGGACCCTAAGCCCTAAACCCTTAAACACTTAAACCCATAAGCCCTAAACCCTAAACCCTAAACCCTAAACCCTAAACCCTAAACCCTAAGCCCTAAAGGCCGGAAGCACCCCAAGTTCCAGCTTCCTGGAGGTCCACAGGCCGGCTTCTCCAGCAATGCCAGCACCTGGCTCCCAGATCCCTGCCTAATATAGGGGCTGTACTAAATTACTGTAATAATTACCGCTAATTTAGGGGTTTAGGGTTTAGGGTTTAGGGGGCTTTACTAAATTACATATACTATTTTGGGGGGGTCCTTATTATAAAGATAGTATAATGGGCCCCCAAAGCCCCTATTCTAATTGTTAAGGCCCCTACATTAGAAGTCCACGGGCGGTTTAGGGCCTTTCATGGTGTAAGGCCACGGTTTAGGGCTTAGGGTTTGGATTTGCTCAGAAATCCATCTGTGAAGCGGCCTCCAGTAATGTTTCTCTACAGAGATTCCCGTAAGGATTGGTAGTTGTAGAGCATTTCTGAGCTATCTTACCAACACTTTTCTTCCAAACCCTAAACCCTAAGCCTTAACTCTAAATCCTAAGCCCTAGACCAAAGCCTTAGACCGAACGTCCTACAGCCTTCAACTCTCGACCCCTACCCAGGGATCTCACCATTTTGCCGAAGGAATATACTTGAAATTAAGGGAGGGGGTTGTTGGTGTGGGTTTTATGATTTATGCAAAATCTCCTCATGAAAAGGTTTTGGGCATCGGAATTGGCTAACCCTAAACCCTTAACCCGGCAGAGCTCATTTTGTGCAGCTTGGGTTTTCTGTGGGCCAAAGACCAGACAAAGAAGGCTTTCCAGGCTCAACCCGAGCACCGACGCCGAATCCCCAGCCCTGGTACCCAACCCTAATTGTATCTCTTAAAAGAGATTGAACATGCAAGAAATCATAGTCAGGAACCCTTTCAAGTATAGGTCGTTGGGGCTACAGGTAAGCCTCAAGTCTTAAACCGTAAAGCTCAGGCCCTAAAGCCCGAAAGCCCCAATCTAACCGAGAGCCAAAGGAGCGACGTAAAGGTGGGAAGAGTCATTTGAGGGTTTATGGATTTCGGGGATTCAGGATTTAGGGTTGGCTTTAGGAATGTCGCTGATTAGAGGACAAGGATATCGACTCGCCAGCCGACATCGATGGGGTCAGGATGGGAGACCAGAGAGCGCCTTGGATGTTTGGCCTGTCCTTGAGCTATCCGAACCAAGTACGAAGACGGCGGCTCCGATGATCCGTTGGGGAGCCCGCTCGTCAGGGGCACCGGACGCACCGGAAGCACCGGACCGCTCGCGGTCGCCAAAGAGGCCACAGTTGACAGAAGTTTGAGCCCTAAACCCCAAACCCTAAACCCTGTTTGAAGACAAGGAGATCCTTGCCTTATTGGGTTTCGTAAACTCTAGACCCTGAACTTCCCTAAACCGTATACCTTAAACCTAAACCCTAGCCTTAGCCGCAAAGACAGGGCCTAGGACTTGTTCAATACTCAACCCGGTTCTTGCGACTGCAATTTAGGGATTCGTTACATTAGTCGTTCTACCTGGGCGGCCGCTATACCGAGGTGACTGTTATTTAGGAATGACTCAAGGGGTCCATATGGTTACCCGTAAACCCGAAACCCTAAACCCTAAGCCCTTCAACCCTAAACTCTATAAACCCTAAACCCGAAACATCCCGAAACCCTATAAACCCTCGCATAAGAGATCTATAGGGATCCTGTCGATGCGGGGCCTATTCGAGCCCCTCGCTTGATTTGACTTCGCAACCGGGTGCTTCAATATAGGAGCCTTAATAATTAAACTAGGGCGTTGCGGCTTATTCTACTATGATTATAGTAAGGATCCCCCCCCAAAAAAAATAGTATTGGTACTCATTTACGCCCCTACATTAGATTGCGTGATGGGTTTAGGGTTTTGGGTTGAAGGGGGTCAGGGTTTAGATGGCTGCGCCTTCGCAGTTTTGCTTTCGGGTTTGGGGTTTAAATTTAGTTCAGGCATTCGGGGATTATCGGGGCGTATCGGGTTTAGGGCTAGTAGATTAACCCTAAAGGCCCTACACCTTAGCAATATAGGTTTAGGGTTTAGAGTTTAGGGTTTAGGGTTTAGGGTTTAGGGCTTAAATCCTACCCTTGCAATGATGCCAAGGTCAACCCTGATCACACGACGGTGAATGTCGAGACAGAGACTTGCCATATTAATTTGTAAAGGTTCTGTTTAAGTTATTAAGGGATCTTTAAGTCTTTAAGGGTCAATCTAACTGCAGAAGCATAACATGGCCCCCAAACCCCATTCTAACCACCATTATACAAGGTGCCTGTATTACAGCTTGCTGGAGAAGCATCGTGTTACGTGAAAAGATTGGTAGAATTGGGGGTTCAGGATTTCAGTGTTTGGGGCATAGGGCTTAGGGGCTTGGGGGTTTTGGGGTTTAGGGTTTAGGGTTTAGGTCTTGAGACGAGACCTGCTTGATGGGTCGTTTCAGATTTCACCTGCAGCGGCTGCGCTGGGTACAGCTCGTTCCTGACTTGTTCAAGCCTTGTCCTCATCAAGGAGTGTGCTTTCTAGCCCAACCGGCCCAAGCCCTAAACCGTAAATCCAGAACCTTGACCCTAAACTTCCGCGAAACCTACATTCCCTGCACCCTGACACAGCCTGACACCCTACGCCTCGAAGAAACCCTGAAACATGAAAGCTAGACTAACGACGAAGATGATTTCTCAGTGTTGCTTGTTGTAGCTAAACCCTAAACCCTAAACCCTAAAAAGATGCCGTTCTACTTATTGAGTGATGCAGGCTCCTCCCTAAACCCTAAACCCGAAACCCCACTTAAATCCTAAACCCTAAACCCGAGACCCCACTTAAATCCTAAACCCTAAACCCGAAATCCCGCTTAAATCCTAAACCCTAAACCCGAAATCCCACTTAAACCCTAAACCCTACACCCTCACATCCGTGTCCTTCCCTCTTGGTCGCTGCCAGGAGTCGAAGGACCCTACATCACCTCTCGAGATCATGAAAGCCACGTTGCCTGGCAACGCAGTTTAGGCTTTAGGTGGGGTTTCGGGTTTAGGGTTTTAGCCCAGACCATATGCTTTAAGGTATATATTCCTTATAAGAGATGTTGGAAGGTCTGGGAGTTTCTGCGTTAAAGAACTTTTAGAGGGCTTATAGTTTATAGGGCCATGCGGGACAAACTTGAAATTGCTATACCAGAGTAGCGCATGTTATTTATGACATGTCCCTGCTATGTGGTGGCCTGAGTGCATGCCCTAAACTTCCGTAAAGCCGTCTGGAACTCTGGCAGCCCTATAAGTCAGCTGGTTCACTATACGTTGCATACACATGTGTCCGTACGTAGGAGGGTTGCATTAAGCTCCTTAGCACTAACTCTGTAAAGCCTCTCTAGCACTGCACAGAAGGCGCTTACAAAGCAAGAGCTGCATTGCTGGTAATCTCCTCAGGCTTTAGATCTGGGTTCCAGAGCTTGGGGGTGTGTGGTAAGCATAGTACCCTCATAAACCGCAGCATACGATCTGAGAACAGCGCATCATTCAAAGTGTGATGAGACTTTGTGAGCCGGTTGAGGCTGGTATGACGAAAATGGAGCTGGCCTGCCTACGACCCTAGTAAAGCAACCTACGTTCTAGTAGACATAACAATCTTTGTTAAAGTTTAGTAATCTAGTATTACTATCCCCGTATCGTTCGTATAGATGGTCATTATGAGTCATTATGCTAACTGTCCCCCACAACCCTTTTCTACTTACTACATTCGGGAGACCGGTACTGGAGATATCCCAAATCTCAGCTAATGGTTGCAGGTTAGGGTTTAAGGTTTAGTTCAGGGTTTAGGCTTTCAGGTTCAGGGTTTAAAGGCTTGTGGACGGCTTCGTGGCTTGTCTTTCATAATATAGGGGCCTTAAAAAGTAGACTGGGGTTTGGGGGCCCATGATACTACAATGATAATAAGGAACCCCAACATAGTATTGGTAATGTGTTCGACCACTACATTACTTCAGACTGTTTTAGGGTTTAGTGTTTCGGGCTTGGGGTTAAGGGGTTAAGGATCGATTTGATCTTCCCCAAAGCGTCGTCAGTACTTGTATAATGGAATGTAGGAAGTCCATATTAGGAACACATAGTATGATTTGGGATAGTATCCCTAAACTCTACACCCTAAACCCTAAAACCCTAAACCGTTAACCCTAAACCCTACAACCCTAAACCCCCGTAGCAGCACCTAGGACCCTATTGGTTCGGATTTTGTGGCCGATGCTGTGTCGGGGTTTGGACCCTCGTTTTTACGGTTTTCAGGGTTTAGGCCTTGAGGGGTTTGGGGTTATATAAATAAGCCCTTTTTATGGCTTTTAGGGTTTAGGCCTTGTGGGGTTTGAGGTTATATAAGCTCTATATCCCTAAACCCTTTGAGCTTTCGGTTTGGGGGGTTTGGGAGTGCTTTGAGGCTGGCATTCCGCAAGAGCCAATCCAACCTCGCGCTCCTTGGCTTCAGCATGGACCCAGACCACCGGGAGGATCCAAAAATAGCCTATAAAGTACCCCTTAGTAGTTGGGGTCCCAGATTAGGGGATCTATTTTTTAGATCCTCCCGGTGGTGGGGGGAACAGGTTTACTTGGAGGATCATGGGACTTAGTACATAAGGTTCTAAGTCCTTTAACTGGGGTTATAAGTATAGTTACCTTAGTTATAACCCTACTTACTAAGTCCCATGATCCTTTAGGCAGGGCTTCGGGGCACCCAGGGACTCCAAAAGCCCTTACTGACGAGTTAGGATTGGGTTCGGTGGGGTGTTGGACGGTTTGATAGGGGTTTCATTTGGTTTTCAGGGCCCTTGACTAATATTTCTACATTAATCATATGCCTACTCCTACTATCCCGAAACCTTGTATTGGGGCTCCTATTATTTTTGACGAGAGTCTCCAGGGAGAGTGTTGAGGACTTCAGGGTGGGGGTTTAGGGCTTCAGGGTATAGGGCTGTAGGGGGGGGGGGGGTTTAGGGCTTAAAGGTATAGGGCTCTCGGGTGTCGGGGTTTGGGGTTTACAGGAGTTGGAAGAATAAGGCAGTAACATGTTTTTAACTAATTACTTTTCGTGTACTTCAAGATTAAGGCCCCTATACTACAGGGTGTTATAAGGCCTTATTCCGGTGTCCAAACTGGCTTCTTTAAGGCTTGCATAAGGCTTCTAGAACGGTTGAGGGTTTAAGGTTCAGGCTTGAGTTCTTGTAGCGTTTCAGGGTTTATGGCTTTACAGGAAAGGGTTAGAGGTTTGGGTTCATCGAAATTCTGAACCCTGGAGTCGTTTAGCTGTCAAGGCACCGGCGGACCCTTTACATAAGTTGTAATTATGTAAGTAAACCCCAAAGCGTAATACATCGTAGTGCTGAAGAAGTTAAGACTGCAAGTAGAGGTCCATACAGAAGCCCGGCAAATCCGTATCTTGATTCTTTTTAAGGCCCCTATGCCACTCCTAAGTCCTAAGTAAGTCCCAATTTTAATGTTGGGGGGTTCAGGCTTACGGGTGCCAGGGTCTAGGGTAGAGGGGTCTGCGGGGTGGGGTTCGGGCTTTGTGGTTTTGTGGCTCGGCTGTGTCGTCTAGAACTCTTCTGAGGAAACATTATGCATAGGAACCCCTAAGCCCTAAACTCTAAACCCCTAAACCCCTAAACCCGAAACCCTAAACCCCTAAGCCCTAAACCCTAAACCCTTCTATAGAACCTTGTTCCGAGCCCGTACATAGAGCCCTCATAAAGTGAATATGTCAGCGCGGCGTGTCCTCCCAAGCTTTAGCTTTCCCTTCGTCAACGGTTGCTGCTGTGCATTTCTTTCTACTGTTTCGGGTCACGCTACCCAGAGGCCCCATTGTAGTTCCTTTTTGGGATTACCTTATAGGATTCTATATATGAGCCCTCAAAAGGAATTACTTTAGGGCCTATGGGTATACTCCACCTCAGTACTTATAGTTCAGTAGTTTCCTGCTCAGCTTTGACACTAAACTTCGCAAAGCCCGCCGAAGGTTGGGACGCATCACGCAGGTGCCAGGTGCGAGAGCCCGTGCAATTAGCAGCTAGAATCTTGTAGTGTGTAGGGTATAGGCTTGCAGCTGCGAGTTTGCGTGTAGGGCCTCGTTGATTCTGTTTAGGGCTGTTCCTTCATGCCGGGGATAGAGGTAATGGTGTTTGAACCCTTAGAAGCCGTGTTACCTGGGAAGCTAGTGTGGTATCTAACCACACCCAAAAGCCTCCATAACTGGTAAACAGTCTCGAACTTCATCCCCCCCAGGCCTTAATGATGTGGGTCTTTAAAAACCTGAGGGCTTCGGGTTTAGGGTTTAGGTTAATAATAGGGGCCGAAACAATTACTGATACTGTTTTGTGGGTTCTTCAGTACAAATATAGTATAATGGGCCCCGAAACCCTATTCTAACTATTAAGGCCACTACAATAGGCCCTGAGCCCTGAACTCGAAACCCCTTCAGACATCTCGGGCGACCTTTTTGACGATCTCATCGTCGTGAAGTACCTCATGGGAGCATCTGCGTCTTGCCCTTTTACTCCTTAAGTCTCTCGTAGGATATTTCTTATACTCCACGAATATTCGTAGGATAATTCTATCGCATTTGATGTTTCAAGGCATAGGCCTGGGTCTAAGTTACTATAGTAGGATTTAGGCTTGCAGGTTTGGTTTGAGGTTTTAGGGCTTTGGGGTCTTAGGGCTGGGGGTGCAGAGAAGTTTAGGCTTTTCGGGTTGCAGATGTTAGTTTGAGTTATGTTTTTTTTTGGTCTAGGTTTAGGGGACGTGCTGGACCATGGCACCGATGAAGATGCGGGAGTTCTCAGACCCAGACGGTCCATATATGCTACTAGTATGGAATTAGGTCCCAAAGGACTATACTAATAATGGTTTGGGGGATGGACTCTTTCGGAAACACACTTTGATCAGGGCAAACTCCTAAACCCACCACCTTAGCCTTAAACCCCAATTCCTAAACCTCAAACCGAAAACCCTGAGCCCAAAACCCTAAACGCCTAACTAAACTCCTTAAAACCTAAACTCGTAAACCTTATAAACCCGAAATCCTGACCAGGGTCTTGGAATGTGGGTTTCAGGGATGACATTTAACCCAGCAGTTTCGGGTTTAGGGGCCTAGTGTTTAGGAGTTTAGGCTTTAGGGTTTGGAGTTTAGGATTGCAGGAGTTTGGGATTTAGGGTTTAGGCCTGACAAACATGAAAACCAACAAGCTTTAAACCACAACACCTTCATCATGAAGCCCTGACAGATCCTATGAAGCTGAAAACGAGGGTTTAGGGTTTTTGGGTTCAGGCTTTAGGGTTTAGGGTTTATAGGCTTTAGGGCAGTGTGTCCAGGTCTCTGCCACTGTGGCGAACTGGAACACGCGCCTCGGGCTGCTCGGGAAGTTCGGTCGCTGCAACTTGCGTAGATCATGTCCGAGACGGTCATGTTTATAGGGTTTGCAGGGGGTTTAGGGTTTAGGAGTTTAGGAGTTTAGGAGTTTAGGGGTTTAGGGGTTTAGGGTTTAGTTGTTTTGGGGGGTTTAGGGTTTAGGGTAGTTCTCTAAATTAGGGCCCCTTTTAGGTCCCCAATATAGTACGGCACCCTTATAAAAAAGGACCCTAAAAGGGATCCTAATTTTGAGAACTATCCGTGTCGAAGACTGTAATATTTATAGGGTTTGCATGGGGTTTAGGGTTCAGACCTTAGGGGTTTAGGGTTTAGGGTTTAGGGTTTAGGGTTTAGGGTTTAGGGTTTAGGGTTTAGGGTTTAGGGTTTAGGGTTTAGGGTTTAGGGTTTAGGGATGAGGGTTTTAGGGGTAGCTTGACGTGTGCGGTATGAGCAAAGGACCATGAGCGTCATAGCATTGAGTGTATAGGTTTCTTACGAAATCAAGCGAAGAAGATATGAAGATCTGTTGAGGAAGGATAGGTAGGGTGTTGCTCCGTTTCAGGGCTGTGGGTTTTGGAAAATTCTCCTAGTCTTCATTTGTGGGTTTCCTTTGATCTCTGCCGGTCCTACGGGTCCTACGGCTGATGATTTAAATCCTGTATTACCCATATTAAAAAATATATACCATAATTCCCAGAGTTTAGGGTCCTTAAGGTCATGCAGGATTTACATCCGTAGGAGCCCAAACAAGATGCCCTTGCGGGCCCATGAGGATCCCTAGAAGGTTCCGTATAGGACTTGCATGATGGAGTGCTTTCGGAAGTGACTGTGGGCTTTGCTATCATAGCTTTTTGTGTAGCATCTTTCTGCACCCCAGTACAGGCTTAATGCAGCACTCTGCCAAGGACCCTAATCCCTAAACCTGAGGACTAAACCGTAAACCCAACAACCCTAAACCCTAAACCCTAGGACCCTCAACCGTAAACCCTAAACCCTAAACCGCACCAAAGCTTTATGGCGTTTGTGTTCTTCCGACGTTAGGCTCCGAATAAGTGAGAGTCGAACCTGCAGCCACTGACCTGCCCTACATGGAACCGGAACCCTAAACCCTAAACCCTGAACCTTAAACCGGGAACCCGAAACCCTAGACCCTGAAAGGCCCCGTAGTTATTGCATTCAGAGTTCTTTAAAGCCTTAGACTCTTGATTCTGGCTAGATCAACTTCCTTACATGTTGCATTTAGCTTAGTCACTTTAGAGTTTAGGGTTTAGGGTTCAGCGTTCAGGGATCTGTCTTGTTTAGACATTCGACTTCCCGATTGGGTAGACATACAGACGAAAAGATAACATTCATTGGCGGGTTGTGGAACCCTGTCTGTGTTCCTTAAGCAGGCCACTCTGCCCTAACCCCTGAACCCGAAACCTTAAACCCTAAACCTCAAACCCTAACCCCCTAACCCTAAACCCTAGCTCCTAAACCCTAACCCCTAAGCCCTAAACCCTAAACCCCAAACCCTAAACCTTAAGCCAGAGCCAACTAGCGGTCTGATCCCCTACTCATCCGCTGGCCTCATCCCCTATATTCTAACTGTCAAGGTCCCTAGTAGGGCCCGAATCGCCCGACAGCGGAGCTGTTAGGAAAATCGTAGTGCCCCAGCACCCACTCTTGGGTGCGCCTTTGCCACGCCCTCACCCGGCTGGCACAGACGGCTGCGAGCTCGACGCTCTAAGGGACGTCTACACCTTCGCCGTGGCGAATTTCCTGCCCCGCGACAGCGCTGGCTTCTGACTGTGCATCACAGCACGTGTCCATCTCTTCGAGCCCGACCTCTGTTAGGAGCCCGCATGGGCAAGAACAAGAGCCGTGCTGATACACGACCATGGCGTCAACAGAGCTATGGCGGAGATGGTCACTACCACGGTGGTGGAAGCTGGTCTTTGTGGTCAGGTGCTTGGAAGCAATCGCCGCGAGGCCGCACGAAGGAGGGTGCCCAGGCCTTCCCTGCATACGATGCAGGATGGAGACAGTCTGCAGAGATTATGACTGTCTCGGAACCGGCCACGCACCCAGCTCCGCCGACTGGTGGCATAGTCAAGGACGTGCAGCATGCAGTGAACTCCGCTCGGAAGTTGGAGGGCCGGCTCCAGAAGCTGCAGAGGGAAACACTGCAGCGTGGACAGGCCTGGGACGCGTGGGTACTGAAGATGAGGGAACAGTACGCCAAAGAGCTCGAGCGGTACAAGACGGAGCAGAGCCGCCTCTCAGCCGAGATCCGAGAACTCGAAACACAGACACAAGCGGCTTACCAGCTAGTTCAGGAGGCTGCCCTGCTGCAGAAACCGGCTCCCGCTCCCCCGCCGCCCTTGGAATGGGAAACTGCGATGGAAGTAGACGACCTGACAGAGGAACAGTGCCGCGCCGAACTTGCGCGGATGCTGCAGAAGGTGCCTCAGCACATGGCTGCAGTCACTCCGCCCAGAGGCACGGGAGCCCCACCTCACACTCCTCCGCGTTCTACTCCCTCACCGGCTACTACCAGTACTTTTGTTCCGGCCATGGATGTGTACCCCGCGCCATCGCCTGCGCCGACCGATGGCGCCCTCACGGGGACTGTGCGTGTGCCGCCTGGTCTTGTGGATCCTCGGGTCCCCGTTGCCCATTCAGAGCTCTCAGTTGGACAGAGTTCCCTTGCCTGCAAGCTCTCTGGAAAGCGACGATCCCTACGAAATGCTCTTGCCCCTTTCGGCACTGGCAGGCCCTTAGGTCCATCCGAGGATGTTCCAGTCGTTCCCGATGCTCCCACCTCAGGCGAGGCTCCGGTTGCAATCGACCCAGGTGGGGTACTTCTGGACGACGACGCCGACGAGCTTTCGCAGACGGATCGATCGCCAGGTTTTGGCCGCCTCGAATGAGCGGACTTCAATTCTGGAGGCTTCTGCCGACGAACTTCGGCATCTGTGGCGATCCCCTAGTGGGCCCGGTCTTATTCAGAGAATCGCTGCTTATGGTGGTGCAGCTTATTCTCTGGTTTGACCTGTTGCCTGTTGGGTGGATTACCCACACTTGCTGGAGTCCTGAGGCAGAGCCTTCTCTTCCTGAGCCTGCTGAGTCTTTGTGCGTTTCACTCAGCTTCGGGTCCTATTGCGTCGTTTTATCTCGAGGTCTGTATAGTTTTTCGGCCCTCGTTTCCTCGCGCTCTGTCGTTGGACTACCGTCTGGATTTGGCGGTTTGTTCAAATTGCGGTTCCTGTCATTTTTGGACTTCCTTTGCAGCAGGTTATTCACCCATCTTCCCTTGGGGTTTAGGCCCACTCCTCTTCAGGGTACCCGTGTACGCGCGCTTTGGGTTTTACACCCCAGCCGCCGTGTTCATCCATGCTTCTCCCCTCTGGCGCCTAATAGGTGTATCGGTGGCTCTGGGACACCAGCCAAGGGAGCTTGCATTTCCAACCTGGCCTTCCCCTTAGGGTTTAGGTTCCCTCTCCGTAAGGGTACCCGTGCGTATGGGCCGTGGGTCTTACAGCCCACCTGCAGTATTTTGCCTTCCATGTCCGGGGTCTTGAGTGCCAAACAGCTGTATCGGTGGCTCAGGGACAGCGACTCAACCCCGAGGTGCTTACATGACCAAGTTCGGCTTCCTGACATGTGGTATGCCCCTGCCTTTCCCCTAGGGTTTAGGCCTTTTCCTGTTAGGGGTACCCGTGTCTGCAAGGAGAGGGTCCTTTTGCCCTCATTGGCTTCTTTTGCATCTGGTCTGCCCTTACCCGTGGTTCTGAGCCGGGGGGTCTCTTCTCCTCGACTCTGTGGGTCCGATCATATACTGCCGTGCGGGGTCATGAGTGCCAAACAGCTGTATCGGTGGCTCTGGGACAGCGACTTAACCCCGGCACGTACCGACGACTCGATGCCCTGCTCCTGCTCAGGCTCGGTGGCTTCCTCCTTGGCCTCTGTCCTTGGTTCTTTTGCGGAGCTTCTCATTCCTTTCGCCAGAACCTTTGCCTTACTCCTTTTTCTGGCTCTCCTCCGTCTCCTTTGGAGTGCGCTTCGTGGTCACCGACCGCCAGGCCCTGTGTGCTCCCTTGCTTCCTCTCTTGGTTGTGCGCTACTGGGTCCTGCAGTTTTGTCATGGACGCCTTGGAGGGACCGCAAGGGCCGCGTTGCCAAGGTACAAGGTAGACGCTCTGCTGGAGGTGCGTGTCTGAATAGGATGCTCTCCATTATTGCTCTTCTGTTTGGCTGCGGCAGTGTGCCTACGGTTACCTTCTTCTGCCCATACGGATCGACGCTGACCGTTTTGCTGCTTTCGTTGCCTTCTGCACAAGCGGTGACAGGCACTGAGCCCGCGGGAGCTTCGAGTAGGGCGCTGCACGCCATCAACCCTGAGGCCCTCACCTCCTATGTTGGCGATCCCTTGCCTGCGGTGCCTTGGTGCGACTCAGATCGTGCTCGCCGAGCGGGCCAGACCATAGCCATTCATGGACGTGATTGGCCGGCTGGTGGCCCCACTAATGGACCGGGCTATCACTGGTTAGGAGTGTACTTGCACACACCCTACTATGCCCCTGTTTCGTTTGCCATCCAGGTCGCGGATGAAGCGCGGATCCATGATGTTCTGGAAACTGCCCTCGATTGTGCCCCTGGCGTACCTGATGGCATCATGGACAAGATTGTGGCACTGCGCCCCCAAAGGTTTGAGGGCTATCTGTCAGCAGTTCGCTTCCCCAGTCACCTGAGCCAAATGGGGGAAGGCCTCTCGGCAGTTGTTTTCGACCTGACTCGGGTCGGGGGCCATTATTTTGCCTCGGTACTCCCCAGGCATATCTCTTATGCCGGCTTGCATGACTTTATTGTCCCGCTTACCTCGCATGATGATGAGCCATTGAGCATTTATGTGGGGTGCCGCAATTACCCATGGCCAGAGGCTGCCCTCGTTAACCTGAATGATGGCGACGTTGTCACTGTCATACGCCATCAGGCTACCTTTGGGCGCTG